GTTGTACTTTTGTGCAGTACATGTAGTTAGATAATGTAGTAGTGTTTTGTATGTTTTTCCGAAAATATATATAGTCTTGTGTGTATGTGATGTTGCTTTGTTTTAACAGTACCATGTTGTGTTCTACATTATAAGTATACTGTGACTGAAAAATGTGACTGGATGCCCGATGGTCATTTTCTGTTAGTTGTTAGTTGTAGTAAGTTGTATATGAAGGACTAACAAGACAACAGTTAGCAAACAGTATTCCATTGCTATTTTTCCAACAAAACAAAACGAAACCAAACCCTCGACAACAAAACGGAACTTAACGAAACTTAACGAAATTTAACGAAACAGAACGAAATACTACGCAAACAGCTGGTATCTTACTCGTTTTACCTTTGTTACCTTAGCTGTAAGATCGTGTCAGAACGATCATCAGAACTTGTGTTCATATAGCCATCATCCTTGGTAAAGCAAGTGTCCTTGCATTGAACAAAACCGCTTACTTCAACGCGAACGCAACTGGAACAAAAAAATATAGTAGGTCAGATGGTCTTTCCCTCTCAAAGCTGACCGCCCATCTTGTAACAGGTCTGGTCTCGTAACGTTACCTGAAAGAAAAAAAAATGTAACGTTGAAATGAACTCCACGTTGTACGGATCGGACGTAGTGACTTACATGTATTTATCTTTTCGTGTCATCGGAACGCTATGCATGACGTTATAGCGTGGGTCGGGAAACCCGCCACATTTAATTTGTTCCTATCGTTTTATTTCTTCTATGCTGGTATATGAGCGATCAAATAATCAGTATTTTGGCGGGGATAATGATTTAAATCCAAGGACATTGGTGTCTGTGGAATATACAGAACATTTGACAGTGCTTTTTAGATTTTTTTGTCCGCGATCAGGACCGCAAGCCAGTATTATTTTTCGGTCCCTATTTTTCTGTAAAACTAAATCAGAAAAAGTCGGTGATGACGTGTAAGTTGTTGGGGCATTCTAAAAATTGCTGTACTTTCTATCACATTTGTGACCTGTCGCAGTGAAGTGGTAATGTGTGTAGCAAAATTGTGTCACATTTGTATTCAATCATATTTCCATTGATGTCACAAAAAAGGGGGAATAGGTTTATAAATTACCAAACATAATAGTAAGAATGGCTT